CCTGTTTTCATTTGCCCGTCGCCACAGTCAACACTTCATCTCGTAGTGGGTGCTCTATGTTGAAACAATGACCCATGTGCTCCTGTGGGACTCGGGTACGTGGAGGCTGCAATCAGCCACCCTTTGATGAGCAGACAGGAAAATATGAGTCACTGAGGAAGGGAGATTACTTTTTTAACCCCCACCCCCCTTTTTAACTCCTCCTAACACCAAATCCAGGAAACATCTGTAACCTCATCCACCGGCAGGGTCGTATGTTCATGAAATCTCCAGGGCCGCTGTTGGACTCTTTGGAGGGAGGCAATCAGGAAGCTTGTCAAACTTTTCTCGTATTGTGATACGGTGTAGAGACGTTTCCTGGACAGTCCTGTACAGTGTGTCTTCTGAAAGATTCTCCATTTGTCCTAGCAGCTGGTGTCATTTGTCATGTGGTACGCAGCAGTTTAATTGGTTATTGAGCTCGCTGTGGTCATTTCTATGGGTTCAGAGTGCTGTCAGTCAATGGGTCAATCTATCTTTCTGCTTTAGTGTTGTGGGACTTGTGATCAGCGTTTGTGATCTACATGACAGTGCACTATTCCTGTCCTACCATACCTGATTTTGTACCAGATATTAACAGAAGTTGGTTCCTCTGTACATGCTGATTTTTTTTGTAGCAAGAAGAGATGGGCCAGAGTACTCGGAAATTATGAAACTATACGCAAATGTAAAAAATAACCATATTTTTTTATTTTGGGTTTGGTTATGGCGTCAGTACTTACCGCTCTGACAGCAATTTGCGCCAACACTGACTCCGAGTCTGTGGCAGCAGCAGCGCTCTGAGGAGAGAGTAGAGGGCGTTCACACAGAACGTATTCTCCTTTTCAAACAGCTAGACATAGCTGGAACTGTTCACTGTGGTCTTGAGACACGTTTCTGCAGGACGATTTGATTTATCTCTCTAGTACTCGAGTAAACAAAATGACCAAAATATCCATCCATGCTATGAGCCACCATGTTTCTGTCCTCTCTCTAAATAATTAGCAGGATCTAGGCATTACCTCACTTTGCTGCACTATTTACCAGGTTTAACTGGCTCTTTTTTAATGATCTAACATTTCATTCCATATATTACATGTTAATGTTTTGTACATGCTCATGCGGTCATGTTTGTCAATGTTTTCAGTAGCTAAATCACCAAAGAGGTGCTCCATCTACAAACAAGAACAAGGAATGAATGACTCATCTACTTAACTACTGTATAAAAACTATTTAGCACAAGAGTGAACAGAGCCAAGTAGGCATTCCCTAGGCAACTATATAAAACACCTCCTCACTGCCCAATACCTTTTCTTAGTTTTAACTCTTGGGCTGTACTGGAAGCTGTATGTGTTTCCTTGAATGCTACTAGCACAAATCCAAACTTATTCTGAAATCAGACTGTGATTAATAGGTCTATTAGATGGGCTCTGGCCTCTGTGTATATATGGACGGACACCAAACCCTTAATTTCAGAAGCAGCACAGTGACTCACAGGGCCTGTATCAGAATCTACATTTTTAACTGTCACCTGCAGCTGTCACTGTGTACTAGGGCTGTGTAGAAAATTTTTATTTCTGAATGTTTTTTTTATCCTTTTCGTGATATTCATTATTGATTTTGTGGAAATTTAAATTTATTTATTATTATTATTTTGTATCAATGTTAAAGTGTTTACTGTCACTTTGGATCAATTTAATGATTTTATTTTTTGACATTTTTGTTTGATCCATTCTCTCTCATTTACTATGTAAAGTTGGGTTACTTTTATATTGTCAACCACATAATATAGAAAATATTGTGTATATATAAAATATTGCCTAGCCCTAGTATTAGGGCTGGACGATATGGCCAAAATTGATATCACGATATATTTCTTAATTTCGGTCGATACGATATAATTCCGATATCGATATGACCACTATTTATCTGAAATGGAAATCTTTTGTAACATTATAAATGTCTTTATCATCACTTTTGATCAATTTTAAGCATCCTTGCTAAATAAAAGTATTAATTTCTTTCCCAAAAAAATAATAAAAATTATACTGAATGGAATAGTGTATAATGTTACAAAAGCTTTTTATTTCAGAAAAATGCTGATCTTTGGATCTTTCTATTCATCAAAGAATCCTGAAAAAAAATGTACTCAACTGTTTTAAATATTGATAATCAGCAAATCAGCATATTAGAATGATTTCTGAAGGATCATGTGACACTGAAGACTGGAGTAATCGCGATACATATTGATATTGAATTATTGTCCAGCCCTACCTAGTATGTGTAATATTTCTTGGTGTGGACGTTGATGAGGCAATGAGCTGCTGAGGGGGGTGTTTATGTGCTTAGATTGGTGGTAAAGCAAACTGCCCATCACTTTCAATGAGCTCCATGGACAGAAACCTAAACTTGTGTCAGAAAGTGACCCTTCTGTTTGCAGGAGGGAAGAAGATCCTCAGTGACCTCTTTCTTAACTCCCCCCACCTCTTCCCATATCCCACTGAGTATCTCACAACAGACACATCACAACCTCTCCAGGACCTCTTCATTCAGACTGTCAACACAACACATAAGCTTTCTGCTTGTATGCGAACATAACTGTGCCGATGCAGCTATTTGGTATTTAACATGTTACCGGAGTTCATTTAATGGTCATTGTGTGTATGTTTATACCATAAAAATCAGTAATGTTTCAAAACTAGTCCTCCATCTCTGGCAGTTGTTTGACTGGTGTTGTCCACACCCTACCCGCTTCATCTCCCTGCCAAAACAATGGTGATCTCTGCTCTAATAATCTACCGCCCCGATTGGTCTGTCACAGATTACTCTTGGGTCGCCAGCTGTCGGGAGCTCAGCAAAGCTTTTTTTCCTTTTCTTTTTTGTAAGATCCCATCCATGATCCTGAGATTCCTCAATTTGAGAGTATTAACACGGCTTCATATAGCTAGTCTGGGACCGAACCCAATTATTTTCATGCTAGTAAACAATAGAAGGTTATAAGGAAACCGGAAAACCCTACTGCACCATGCTGATAAGGGCCGATTCGCTTCCCAGCCTCTTGGGAGCCAAGAGATCCTGGCTTCGAATCAGTCTAGTTGAGTTTTTCCCCTCATCCCTTCTACTTAAAGCTTTGGTGGATTTTGTTTTTATTTCTGAATCTGAATGGCCACGTTTGACTGCCTCTCTTATGGTGCAGTGTGATTTAGGGTGGGTTTTGTAGGATAAATGTCCCAGAAGCACACTTTCAGGTAAAATGTTATAGTGTAGAAGGATTAGTAACCAATCAGAGAACCGCAGTTGGTTAATTCCTTTAGAGTCTGCACCGAAACAGTAAAACAATGATGAATGTATGTGTGTGTGCATGTATTTAACCTCATGTTCTGTAGAAGAGACTGTGGAATTGGAGTTGAAATGCTGATATTGTATCAGAGTTAATTGAAAGTGGAGACTTTGGAGCGTCTAATGGAAGGCTTTCTGTGAATAGGCTGCCAAAAATAGTAGCATTGCAAGGCGACTGTTATTGCAGCTGCTCCCATAACTTCAGTCTGCATGTACATAGATCCATGGTATTTACATGGGCAGATGCTCTAATGCTGGTTGTTTGTCTCCTAACACAATGTCTGTAGTCTTTAGTGTAATATGATTGATAGCCCAGTGACTGACGGATTCACTCTCTGATAACATGACTGATACTTATCACTGTATGTGCCTGTCATACAAACAATGCGCTATAGTATTATATGATTTAGTTGAGTAAAAACAGAAAGTAAGTCTCCTGTTATCAGTGATTCCTGGTGTTGTTAGCTGATGATATTTTATGCTGCTTCTATGTAAGGAAAAAAGCATTCCATCAACGTTTTAGCTCCAAACACCATCAATCGCAAGAACATGCCGTACAACCTCAGTCTTACACCAGCAGTAATAAAACAACTTTGTGTTACTGCAGAAATGTTTATGAGGTTCATGGGAAATACATGCATAGATAGATAACTATAGGGAGCTTGTATAATTAATATATATATATATATATATATATATTTTATTTTATATATTTTTTTTATATTACACACACACACAACCTTTCAAAACTTTGGGGTCTGTATGATTTTTTTTGCTCACCAAGGCTGCATTTCTTTGATCAAATGTAAAGTAAAAACAGTAATACTGTGAAATATTATTACAATTTAAAAAATATATATTTTTGAATATATTTTAAAATGTAATTTATTCCTGTGATGGCAAAGCTGAATTTTCGGCAGCCATTACTCTAGTCACATGATCACATTGATATTATTATCAATGTTGATAACAGTTGTGCTGCTTAATATTGTTTGTGGAAACGGTGATACTTTTTCTTTTAGGATTCTTTAATGAATAGAAAAGTTCAAATGAACAGCATTTATTTGAAATAGATTTTTTGTAACATTATAAATGTCTTTACTGTCATTTTTAATCAATTTATTGAACAATAAAACATCTTAACAAATTACCCAAACTTTGTGAACAGTAGTGTATAATTTATTGGTCATGTGACAATAATTCTTTAAAATATTTGTATATATTGTTCTGTTCACTAAATATGTGTATATTTCATGTAATTATTTTATGGTGACTTTATTTTACTATATTTTATTTGATGATATGGCAGTTGTCTTGAACTTACACCAACATTATTAATTTAATCTAAAAGAGAAAGCGTTCGAGAATAAGTATTTTTCAGCTGGTCATGGGATTTAAAAAATTATCTTTTTAAAGGTAAGAATTAAGTTGACATGGAAAATACTGAAGCATGTTGGAACAATGCAGCGGGTTTTGGAAACTTGTTTTTAGTTTATTACACAGAAAAAATGCTCCTTTGGCCCTCACCTCATCACTGCATTGAGAAAAATGCCATTTTATTAATCACTTCACAGCACACTTTAGACAACATCTGTTAATCACACTGAGCTTAAACTGTAATTCTCCTTGTGTGCCTCCTTTAGGAACAACCGAGCGCGTCTGCTTGGTCCAGGGCACTGTAGAGGCGCTGAACAGTGTCCATGACTTCATCGCGGAGAAGGTGCGGGAGATGCCGCAGAGCGCTCAGAAAACAGAGCCAGTTTGCATACTTCAGCCACAGACCACCGTCAACCCTGACCGTGTCAAACAGGTGATGCCTCACTTCCTTTAACTCCTGTTTCCTGTTTCCTCTTGGTCCTTGCATGGGATAATTAACTTCCTTTTTTATTTATTCTTCAATTAAATCAGATTTTTTTACACTTCTTTTTTGATCTGATACTTAATAAGTTACAATAAAAAGCACAAGCCCACGAACCCATGAATATAGTCACAGAATGAAATGAAGTGAGGAGGGACATTTTGATTAGATCATTCATTCTAATAGACAGTGTTAACTCCGTCAAACAGGTCCCACTTGGTTTGGCCTTTGCGTTATGAGCAAACAAACTCTCAAAGGTTCTGAGTGTGTTTCAATTAGACAAGTCATTGATTGTGTACCAGCTATCTGTCTAGGAAATCATCACCACCGGTCACTCCATTATTATGGTGCATTGATCTGCTGGGCTCCTGCATTGTTGTCATCCACTTCAATGATTCTTCTCCTTTATTTATCATTTACTTAATTAAATCACCCTTAGGGCAAAGAGAGAGTTGGCAGTATTCTTGAATAATTTACAACATGCCACCATTTTCTGTTCTTAATTTTTAGTTAAGCCTGTCCATTAAGGAAGTGTCCTCTTTGTGCTTATTGAGCAGTCTCTGTGAAGACAGGGCCATAACCTGAATTCCTAGAACATAAGGCCAAGACGCTTACCCCTGCAGAGTTGCCGACCTAATTATTTATGCATGTAATTATAGGGCTTATCAGCGGAGCAACACATCTCACTTTAGTGCACATTATTGTCTCTGCTGGGAGAGCATCACTGCAAGCCCTCTCTGCATTCTCCTGTGTTGTGCAATATGACAAGCTATATTTTATACAGGGATGCAGAGAGATTAGAATGTGGAGATACATTAAAAATGTTCATGAGGTTGTACAGCTGAGTCATTACTAACTTCCTTGAAACATACTTAGGCCTATTCTATTGATTAAACCTTTGATCAAGATTGCCTGATAGATAGGAAACTTTGCACAAACATATTGTTTGTTTAACATTTATGTTTAATGTATAATTAAATATATATATTCTATAATGATATATTGTGTTCTATAATAAAATATATATCTATAATATATAACTGAATATATTTCTAATATTTCTATATATTACTATAAAATTACAATAAAACAAATATACATATATATATGATATTTAATGATCTAATTTTATATATGTTTCTTTTATTGTATTTTTGAAATATATATTAAAATAAATAAATATTTATATATATATATATATATATATATATATATATATATATATAT